GAAACGTCAGGCGAATAAAAGTATTGTCCCAGCGATCGAGTCGTCTTTTCCCCTAACTCTGACCTTAATCCTAACCTTGAATCTAATCCCTAACTTAACCATAGCCCTCATTTTAATCCTAATATTAGTTTCTGAGAATTTGGCGCAAAATCACATGCACTGTAGCGGTTCCTGTTCTCATGTTCGCTTTAGGCGGCCATGTAAGTCATCCTTACCTGAAATCCTTGTGAGGGATGCAGACTTGTCAGTAGAACTCAGGGCACAACAAACCGCGCAAGCTAGTGAGACTGAGCGTACGTTAGTATACAACCTACCGTGGCAATAAAATATGGCCACTCAAGGAGAGCTCCTTCAGTGGGAATGTCAGCGATTAGTCAAACCAGTATTACAGGCGAGCTAAAAGTGCTCTCCGACCTAAACCACCTGGTCACTCATGTCAAACCGGAAAAATCAAGCGCTACGGAGGAAAGAATAAATGCTACCGAAACAGTTGAAATTCCCGCTGATATTATCATTCGGCCTGCTGTCAAATAAATTTCTTCCTTTGATCCTGACAAGTCGCCTATCTAAACAAGGCTCTACTAGCCCTCGAACAACTGAGAGTGCTACAGAATCAATATTGCTGGCGTCTTCAAACGACTAGTCTACTCGGTAACCAAAAGTCTGAATCACCTAAAGAAGGACAGGACAAAAATTTGAACCTGGGTTCAGTTGGCCACTGAGTCAGGCACTCTACCACTTGAGTCACGCTGTGGGGCTGTGATAGAGAATACGCAGGGTCGTTTTGATTGACCTTGGATTTCCGGTCTGAGTCCTTCAAAAATGGCAGCTACGCCAACTATCGCCATACTAGTCTGCCTCATCGTTGAGTCGAAGTGACTCATGACTCTATGTCTTCCCCTTCAACAGGCTTTCCGGTGTGTCCAGAGGCGGAAAGTAGGGAAATGGTCTTATTAAAGACTGCAGGGAGAACAAGCAATCCACGGGAGTGATTCTTAGATGGTGCAGGAGGACTGGATGGAGAGGACCACTTTTGAATCCTGGAAATGCATGAAACTAGGTACAGAAGGAGAAGGCGTTTTGATCACTGGAATCATAATTTTACTTGCCTGAGCTTTCGGGCTCTTTCTGGAGTCCATCATCAGAGCTAAAAGGCTTTAACGGAAGATAAGCAACATTTATAGTATGCAGGGGCCAATCAACAAGCAAACCACCCTTCGATACGCTGTCCGGTTAGCCACGGCTTAGATGGATTTCAGGGCCGGCCGTTGTTAAATTCCACACATTTGAATTAGGCTCTCCGGGGGACAAAACGGGCCCAGTGTTTCTCGTAACGCTGTCAGTGAGCGCTCCAATACCACCCAAAAACCGTTTTTGGAAGGCAGATAGGTAAAATTTGCAATACTTTTCACGAATTGAAGCAAATGTTCGCATCCCAGGTATGTGTGTAGATAGAGAAGGAGAAGGTGTTTCGATCACCGGAATCATAATTTCACACGTCCAGATAGAGCCCGAAACCTCAGACAAGTAAAATTATGATTCCGGAGATTGAAACACCTTCTGCTTCTCTATCTGCAATATTTTTCGTCATGGTGTTTCATGAGTTAGGTGAAACAGCTGAGACTGTTATCTGCAATAACGCTACCTGTCGTTAGAATTGGCGTTGTTTTCGCCCTTGCGACTCCACTTAGGTTGACTTAGAGGGGGAGCTGGGTGAAGTAGTTTTAACCAATGAGCGAAGTTAGTCCTGTTAATGACGGTGGGGCTTCGAGATCCGCGATGTTGATCAGAACGATAGTCCACCTCGTTAGACAGGTGTGAACCGTTGGGCCTGCATCAGTCGGTCAGGAGGCCATCGAATGAACCACAAAGGGTTAAACTGGAGTTATTTTGAGTTGGCAGGCACTTTTGGTAGTGAATGTCTAAGCTTCCACCCCACAGTGAAGTGCCTCGGAAAATTATCGGTTTCTGGAGCCCGGTGCTGCATTCAGGTTAGTTTGGAGTGCCGCAGATGGCCTTGTGCAAGCTTCGAGGAAGATTATAACTTACTGATGCATAACCCTAACTCTAGGACGAATTCTAGCCCAAACTTGGGCCGTAATCTTCCTCCGCAAACCAAACTTGAGCCCAAATTTACCTAGACGATACTCTTAACCCTCACCTTAGGCCCAACCCTAACACTTATCCCGATTTCTCTCAAAGTAAGCACGAGGCTCCGGAATGGGCGCTCCTGTTCCAATGTCGTGTGAGCAGCAGTTCCGTTTGCGTGACGTCATAGTTAAATCGAAGGAATTTCTAAACAATATTAGTCTTTTGACACTGGGTGCATATCGACTATTCACCTGAATTGTGGTACAGTCAGATAGTTTCAAGGAGGGGGCAAAGAATTTCTAGAATGCCGTTGTGCTGCAGTTATCGAGGAGGGGGAAAAAGTGACGGTGGATCGGAGCACATAATGTCACTAAGTGAGCATTTATATTTTAGACAGCCGCCGTAGATTCTTCGATATGAATGCAGGCAGAAATAATCTTTTTGTAAAAGGCGAGCATGATCAACACGTAGCTAATATCTCTAAGGACGTTAAAAGCAAAATATTAGGTAATTTCAAAGTACAGAGAGTCTTTTCGACCTAGTGATCCTGTTAGAATAACTTGCCTTTAGCGGCAAATACTCGGGGCTTCGGCAACAAAATATTATGCCCCGATATGTAAGCATCAAACTCTCAAGGCAAGAGGTGTCCAGAATTTTATGTTATCCTCAAAAGAACGACGTTGTCTTGTGAAATAGTTTTGGGATTTATACCTTCTGATCTGAAAACATAAGGAGGTAAATGTCAATACTGTGTGCGTAGAACATGTGTCATTTGAACCAGGCTATTTATAACCATCTTTGTTTGAGGACACATTGTTCCCTCTAAATAACTCCTAAATTCTACATTATACACCAAAACTGCTCAGTGATCAATTCCCAGCCCCATATGTGTAGATTTAGTCTCAAAATATTCCCAAAGTGTTTACTTTGAAGCAGGAGTTTTATTTCGTGTTCGCCAACACAGCGTAACTCTCAACGAAGTATTTCATGACGATCAGGATTAACTTTTAAGGGCTGTGGTGCTAGGGTATTGTTTAATAGAAGAGTTTAACCTTTGCTAATCAGGAATGTCCCACAGAGTCCATTCTCCGCATCCTCGTAGCAAAATCACTGCTTAGGCCTTCGTTCTCTCGTCTATAATTATCTCCTCTAGCGGAAGATAAGGAACTATTCATAGAGCTTATACCTTATTTCGAGGCTTAATTGATTCAACATTGTCTGGTCCGCCAGCTTATTGAGGTTGGGCTCCGCCTAGTTCATTTTACCCTGACAACACCTATCGAGTTATATCGGGATAAAGATTAGTATCCTTCAGAAGATAACAATGCGAACCCTGGAATAATTAGTTTATTGGCCTGGTATTTTGGATTCTCACTCTATCTTATCCTCAGGGAAGAACATATATCATTTTATAAGTTTCACACTCTAACACGTTCCGCTGCCAAAAATGTCAAAAGTCCCATACAAATGCTCGAACTCCTAAACAACGCACAAATCAAATGGTATCCTCCTTTTTTTCCAGAACACCAAAGATACTGCGCTAAGGAACCGTAAAAAATGTTTCTATGTTCCTAGGAATAACTACGAGGTCGCTATCGAGTCCATCCGGCATGACCTTGCAGAGATGAAAGCTAAGCGGGAACAGAGCCTCCAAATGGTCACCGACCTTACGGCTAAGCTGAAGTCGCTGGAGGAGACCAAGGAGGAGCAGCGGAGTGAGATTTCCTCCCTAAGGGACCGCATTAGTGAAGTCGTCGACCAGAGGGATAATCTTCGGCAGGAATTCATGGAAACCAAGAAGAGTCTCCTAGAGTGCCAGCGGGAGAAGGAAGCCGTCCTGGAGACGCAGAAAACAGTGCAGAGCAAACTAAAGGAGGTGCAGGCTGAGAACGCAGAGATCAATCGTGCCCTTCAAGGCCTTCGCCAGCGCTGCTCAGGTGGGTGCCATTTTTCCTTCAAACAACACATTTCAGAAATGCCCACAGTTTTCGAATCTATTTCTTTTTTTATTTATTTATTGCCGGTTTACAGGCAAAGTTTTAACATAAGCCTGGTCTTCAAAAAGTGATTAACTGTGATACTGCCAGCAGGTGTCCACAAGTGCTCTCTCTTTTCTACCAGACGGTTTCGTCTAAAAAATTGTCAGTCCAGCCAAACGTATGTGTTCAGTTATTCTGCATCAGACTGTTTCACTCATATAAAAGTGTAGGAACAACACTGGTTTGCTGGGCGAGCTGCTGGTGATAGACGGGCGGATTGTGATGAACAGTGCTCAAATCCGTCGGTAGTAAGGCCGCTATCTCTAGTGAATTGTCCATGTCCCCGTCTCGTACAGGAGCGCTGTCGGGATGGCGGCTGGATACATCTTTATTCAGTCAAAGGTCATGAGGATTCGGCACTGTCTGATGTCAAGTTAATCGAACGAACGAACGTCTTCGATTATTCATCATCGAGCAAATAAAATAACACAAGGGACGTTAGAGAGAACACAAGTTTAAGCAGCCAATCAGTAGTAAGTAAGGGGGCGAGATGTTAAGGGATCAGATTTTAGTCATCATAAGGAGCCAGAAAGGGGGAGGGGGAGGGGAAAGGGGCCCGACAATTAGTTAATGTCGCTCCGTCGTTACTGTCTCGCGTCGTGCTGGGAGGCCTGTGTCTGTCGTAGCCCTTCTTGGATCAAGAGTCTCCGCTGG